AAAAGGCAACCAACCCCCCCCCCCCCAGCCGCTGCAGATAAAGAGGGGTGTTGCAGGTTCAGCCCAGAAGGACCACGCTGGGCTGACCCATCCCGAATGACAAGAATGACCCCCATGGCTCTGCCGGAAGCCCTCTTCCCCACGGCTGAGCACTGCAGTTGGAGAGGCCGGGGGTCTTCGAGGCTGGCAGGCGATCCTGGGGCCATGCAAAGAGGCCTCTGGCCACCTGGCGAGGGTCTCCCTGCGGTGGATGCGGAAATGACGCGCTGCCTCCTTCTCCCTCTCTCGGGCGCTCTCCATCCCCCCCACCCTGCCTGGGCTGCCCAGTGCAAGTCTTCTGCGCCGCCACGGCCTCCCTTTGTCTGCAGCCCCACTTGGCCGGAGTCCAGACGATTAAGAGCTCTCTGTGGCCTGCTTCAGTGGGGGCCGGGAAGCACGGAGCGAGTGGAGGGGGGCCACGATGACCTCAAGGCAATGACCTCACTCAGCCAACTCTGAAAACCCACAAGGCGTAGAAAATGGGGGGGGGGGGGAGAGATTAGCAGTCCTGTGCCTGTAGCCTCGCATATCTCAAGCTCTCCAGGGCTGCTCAGTCGAAACTGAGTGTTGCCTCCTGCGCCTTCTCGCCACTGCTGCGCCGGCTCCCTCGGTTAGTTGGCTCCTTCTCCCAATTCCTGAAAAATCTCATCTTGCAGGGAACAATGGAGCAACGCCTCCCCCCGCCCCACTCCGCCCGCCGCCTGGTAGCGAGGGAGGCAGCAAATGTGCCAGGCAGACTCCTTTCGTTCTGGAGGAACGCCAAGGAGGAGGAGGAGGAGGAGAAAACGAAGTGGAAGCAAGTGTGTGAAGGACGTGCTGGCAGGCTTTTCTCCCTCCCCTGCGTGGCCATCGTTTGGCTCTCTGGTTCCTCCATCGCAGTCGACGGGAAGCAAGCCACTTGGGTGGCGAGGGGCCCTGCCCGTCTCTGAACCAAGGCTGCGCTGGGGCTCTGGAGGGTTCAGCTCTAAAGGCTGGCCAGGGGGATGGAGGGGCCAAGGGGCATCCTGGCTTGGGTGCCGAGGCCAGGAAGGGCTTTCCGGGGAAGGCCAACTGCTCCGTGGGCAAAGTGGGGGCCCCTGGCAGCTGGCAAACTGGGAGCCCCTGAAAGCAAGGGAGCAGTGTGATTGCCGGGGGCCTGCCCCCTTACTGCAGGAAGGCCCTTACTGCTGGCCAAGCTTTTGCTGCAGTGAATTCAGTAGGGAGACTTTCCCATCCATATTCAGGGGGGCTCTCAGCTTGCTATACTTGGGCAAAACTGACCAGCCTCCCCCCGCACCTTTGCCCCGTCCCCCCAGGGTCTCTGCACAAGGAGAGACTTGGGAGTCCTTTGCCCCCGTGGTCTGCCTGCCTCTGGGAACTGCCACTGGTGTGAGGCCACTGTTTGCCTTCTGGCCTGGCAACGTCCACAGTGGAGGCCCTGAGCAACAGCCACCACAAGTGAAGAGGCGCAGCATCCTTTGGCCCCAGGTCTATTCTGAGGCCCTCTCTAAGCAGAGAGGCATCCGCAAACATGGGGTGGCCGCGGTTCCATCCGGTGGCTGCCCGCAGGCCCTTCCCCGTCTGTCTGCAGCTGTTGCCTGCATCAGGCCCCCCGAGAAGCACGCAGTGGGGAGGGGAGGCCAAGATCACAGGAGACCCCCTCACCTTTGACGGGGCTCCACAGGCGATGGATGAAGGCCCCACCAGTTGTGTGGGGAGGGGATACGGACTCTCTGGAATGCAGCCCTGGAGCCATCCGTCAACCCTCGGGAGAAGGGGTCATGGCAAGGGGAGTAACTGAGCTGCCGAGCGCTCGGGTTTCATGGAAATTGGGGAGCGGGCCGCAGATGTTGCGGCTTCTCCAGCCCTGCCTGCTACCCCCGTGTCCGGGAAGGGAAGGCGAAGCAGTGGCTCAGTCAGCATTTGGCTCCCTCCCAGGGCCCCCTCCTGCCAGGGGGCCATTTGGCAGAGCCGGGGGCTGCCCTGAAGGAGCCCTTGGGGGGCTGCAGGGCCCTCCCTGTGTGCCTCGTGCCAAGGGCTCTTTGTCGTCCCCTGAGAATCTCGCCTGGGAAGCAGGGGGAGGGTGCCCATTACAGTACCCCAAAATTGTTGGGTTTGCCATGGGATGCAAACTCGAGGAGCTGAGGATGTGTCTCAACAACCTGGGAAGGACCGACGCTGGCGCCAGCCGTTTCCAAAGCAGTAAATATGGTGCTTTCTCTGTAATTATGAGTCCAGCCGGGGAGGCCAAGAGGAGGGGAGGAGGCGATCCCAGCTCTACCTCAGCCCCCCCGGAATCCCCTCGAGGGAGCTCAAAGCCAGCTTGATTGGGGGCTTCCTTCTGAGCCTGGAAGGGCAGCGGGCAGTGGGGAGGGCTGGGGGGCAGCGGGCGCTCCAGGGAGACTGGAATGGCATGCCCGGAGGGGGCAAGTCCACCGGTCGGCTGGCCGCCCCAGCTGCTCCTCCTTGGCCCCAGGGCGGCAGGGGTTTGAGGCAGCAGGTGCATTCGCCAGCTGGGCACGGGAGACATCCAAGCCCGCCCTTGGGCACCCTGCCATTCGGCAGAGAAGACCCAGAGGAAGCAGGCATAGGGCTCTGGGCACCTGCTGAGGTCCGGAAGAGAAACAGATCCAGGGGGCTTCGTGGTGGGTGACGGAACCTCCCTGACTTCACTGGATCCAAATGGGCTAGTGAGGGGGTGCTAAGACCCTCGCTGCTGCTCCTTGGGCGCAAAGCTGCGGGAGTCCCTCCACGAGGCTTCCCCAGATGAGAGCTCCTGGCATTGCAGGGAGGGCTCCTTCTCATCAGGGGGACTGGAGAGGGGGTCTCTGGGCCATGGGGACCCCGTGCCCTTGGTGCAGCTTTGCAGGCCATAGAAGGAGATCCCACCAGCTTTGGGTCAGGGAGGGCAGCGACCAGCCACCCCCGCCCAGGAAGCCTCAGGGCCTCCATCACCGGCCCTTCTCCAGCTGCACTGGTCAGCTTCATTCCTGCCTCCGCCCCCGCCCCCGGGGTCCTGTGGGTCAGCTTCTTGCAAACATTCTCAGATCTTGCTTGCAGCCAAGAGGAATCCAAGGGACTCTCTGGCTTGCTCAGGGGAGGAGACCAGTTTATTTTCACACCAGCTGGTGCCAACTGCTTGCCCGGGTTGGGTTTCAGCTGAGGCTGGCGTGTGTATCTGGGTGTGTGCATGTTGGGGGGGGGTGGCTTCCTCCCTCCAAGCAGAGGGGAAACAATCCTCCTGCCTGGAAGAGGCTGGTGGGTTCCCAGGGTGGTGACTCTGTGCCATTCGGGTCCTCCAGACAAGGTGCTGCAGGAGCAGCATCCCCAGGCAGATAAGAAGGAATACTCTGTAGCTGAACAGGAGCCCTCTTGAGAACTCCTACAGGCGCAGAAGAACAGGCAGCCAGCTGGGGTGGGCTGTGGCTGCTTAGGAGCAAAGACCTTAACCTTAACCTTTGGCATCGCCCTGGGGCTACCTCCATTTCCGGCTTTCCCCTGAAACAAGAGAGCTCTCAGGGCCACTGCAGGAGCCGAAAGGGGGGGGGGG